TTTCTAAAAGCCAGGTAGTTGCTTATTTCCTTGACATCTGATCGGAGGGTGTTCCACAGGACAGACGCCACTATCATGAAGGCCTTTTGCCTGGTTCCCTGCAACCTCACTTCTTGTAGTGAAGGAACCACCAGAAGACCCTTGGCGCTGGACCTCAGTGTCCGGGCTGAATGGTGAGGGTGGAGACGTTCCTTCAGGTATACTGGGCCGAGGCCGTTTAGGGCTTTAAAGGTCAGCAGCACCAACATTTTAAATTGTGCTCGGAAATGTACTAGGAGCCAATGTAGGTCTTTCAGGACTGGTATTATATGGTCTCGGTGGCCACTCCCAGTCACCAGTCTAGCTGCCACATTCTGGATTAGTTGTAGTTTCCGGGTCACCTTCAAAGGTATCCCCACATAGAGCGCATTGCAGTAGTCCAAGCAGGAGATAACTAGAGCATGCACCACTCTGGTGAGACAGTCTGCAAGCAGGTAGGGTTTCAGCTGGTCTACCAGATGGAGCTGGTAGACAGCTGCCCTGGACACAGAAGTGACCTGTCCATAGGCAGCTGTGAGTCCAAAATGACTCCCAGGCTGCGCACCTGGTCTTTCAGGGGCACAGTTACCCCATACAGGACCAGGGAGTCCTCCATACCTGCCCACCCCCATCTCCCAAAAACAGTACTTCTGTCTTGTCAGGATTCAACCTCAATCTGTTAGCCACCATCCATCCTCCAACTGCCTCCAGGCACTCACACAGGACCTCCACCGCCTTCACTGGTTCCAATTTGAAAGAGTATTATCCGCATACTGGTGGACACCCAGCCCAAACCTCATGATGATCTCTCCCAGTGGATTCATGTAGATGTTAAAAAGCATGGAGGAGAGGACAGAACCTTGAGACACCCCACTAGTGAGAGCCCAGGGGTCTGAACACTCATCCCCCACCACCACTTTCTGGACACAGCCCAGGAGGAAGGAGAGGAACCACTGTATAACAGTGCCCCCAGCTCCTAGCTTCCCTAGAGTATGCCCCACGGAGTATGCCCCACGGAGGACCTTAAGGTCCATAAACAGCAACACCTTAGAGGTCCTGGGCCCTAAGGAAGTTAGATTAGCCTTAACCAGAGCCAGGGCTTTTTCAACACTGGCTCCGGCCTGGTGGAACGCTCCGTCTCATGAGACCAGGGCCCTGCAGGATCTGATTTCTTTCCGCAGGGCCTGTTCTTAGAGTTGTTCCGCCTGGCCTTTGGCTTGGAGTCAATTGGATTCCCTCCCCCCTCTTTCTTTGTTCCTTTCTCCTCCTGTGATGAGGCTGCATTTTAATGTTTTAATGTTGTATTTTAATTTTGTTTTTTAAGTTGTATTCATTCAACTTGTTTTTATTATGGGTTGTTAGCCGCCCTGAGCCCGGCCTTGGCTGGGGAGGGCAGGGTATAAATAAAATTTATTTTATTATTATTATTATTATTATTATTATTATTATTATTAGAGTCTAGACGGTCTAGAAGGATGGCATGGTCGATGGTATCAAAGGCCGCTGAGAGATCCAGCAGAACTAGGAAACAGCTTTCACCCTTGTCCCTAGCCTGCCAGACCAGTGCAATCAGGGCAGTCTCAGTCCCATTAGGAGGCCTGAATCTTGATTGGAAGGGATCCAAATGGTCCACACCTTCCAGGCATGCCTGGAGTTGTTCAGCAACCACTTTGTCCAAGAATGGAAGATTGAAGACTGGGCAATAGTTGGCCATATTGTAATCCACTGAGAGCAGTCAAGTACAACATTCCTTGTTTTCCTAGAGTGAACGTACAAAGGAATGTTTGGTCCAGCCAGTTGAAACTTCCTGTTCCTCCTGGCCTGGAGCATCCTTCCTTGCATGTGACTAGTGGGTGGGTGTGACCTTTCCAGACCTGGTAAAAGGACAAGGCATGCTGTCACTCTCTCTCCTGTGGTGTCTTTATTCTTTTAGGAGGGATTTAAAAGGGATCTTACCAGGAACATACAATTCAATCTGAGGCAGACTGAATTGCTTAATAGTTCTAACGAGCCTGCAACAAGTTTTCTACTGTGTAAAGGGAATGCACTCTGCTAAGTAAAGGAACTTTCTAGTGCAAGTTAGGTAAAGGTAAGGTACCCCTGCCCGTACGGGCCAGTCGTGTCCGACCAAATGGAGCAAACAGCATGCAGACCTAGTGGTGGGAGGAAAAAATCCTTAAATAAGAGACACGGGGGAATGATTAATGGACTTCAATGTCTGTACACTAATGCGCAAAGCATGGGAAATAAACAAGATGAGCTTGAGCTCTTGGTACAGCAAACTAAATATGACATAATAGGCATCACTGAAACCTGGTGGGATAAGTCCCACGATTGGAATGTAATAATGGAGGGATACAATCTATTTCAGAGAAACAGACCAGACAAGAAAGGAGGAGGAGTGGCGTTATATGTCAGGGATGTGTATACCTGTGAAGAGATCCAAGATTTAGAACCTCAAAGCCAAAGTGAGAGCATTTGGGTCAAAATTAAGGGAGAGAAGAATAACAGTGACCTCATTGTGGGAGTTTACTATAGATCCCCAAGCCAAACAGAGGACATAGATGATGCCTTCCTGGAACTGATGGCCAAGCATGCAAAAGGAAGGGAGATAGTAGTAATGGGCACTTCAGTTACCCGGATATTTGTTGGATGTCAAACTCAGCCAAGAGCATAAGGTCAAACAGATTCCTCACTGGCTTTGCAGACAACTTCATTGTCCAGAAAGTGGGAGAAGCAACAAGAGGAACAGCCATTTTAGATCTGGTCCTAACCAATGTTGATGAGCTGGTTAGTGGGGTAGAAGTGGAAGGATCATTAGGCGCGAGTGATCATGCTCTTCTGAAGTTTACTACACAGCGGAAAGGAGCAGCCAAGCATACTAGGACTCAATTTCTTGACTTTAAGAAAGCCGACTTCATAAAACTTAGGGAACTGCTGGGTGAGATCCCATGGACAGTAATACTAAAAGGAAAGGGAGTTCATGATGGCTGGGAGTTTGTTAAGAGGGAGATAGTAAAAGCACAACTTCAGGCAATACCAATGAGACGGAAACATGGAAGGTGCCTAAAGAAAAATGGAAAAGGGGGGAAACCACCAAAGAGGAATTCAAACAAATAGCCAGCACGTGTAGACACAAAGTCAGAAAAGCTAAAGCACAGAATGAACTCAGGCTTGCTAGAGAGGTTAAAAGCAACAAAAAGGCTTTTATGGGTATGTTCAGTAGCAAAAGGAAGAACAAAGAAACAGTGGGGTCACTCAGAGGAGAAGATGGTGAAATGCAAACAGGGGACACAGAAAGGGCTGAACTCCTCAATGCCTTCTTTGCCTCAGTCTTCTCCGATAAAGAAAACAATGCCCGACCTGAAGAATTTGGAGCAAATGATTCAGCAAAGGAAACACAGCCCAGAATAACTAAGGAGATAGTACAAGAATACTTGGCTAGTTTAGATGTATTCAAGTCTCCAGGGCCAGATGAACTGCATCCAAGAGTATTAAAAGAACTGGCAGATGTGATCTCAGAACCACTGGCAGTCATCTTTGAGAATTCCTGGAGAACAGGCGAAGTCCCGGCAGACTGGAGGAGGGCAAATGTTGTCCCTATTTTCAAAAAGGTGAAAATAGAGGACCCAAATAATTACCGCCCAGTCAGTCTGACATCAATACCAGGGAAGATTCTGGAGCAGATCATTAAGCAAACAGTCTGTGAGCACCTAGAAAGGAATGCTGTGATCACCAATAGTCAGCATGGATTTCTGAAAAATAAGTCATGACCTGATCTCATTTTTTTACAGAATTACAAGCCAGGTAGATGAAGGGAACGCAGTGGATGTAGCCTACCTTGATTTCAGCAATGCATTTGAGTTTTTGTTTCGTTTTGTTAGTTTAATGTATTGTATTGTATTGTCCTTTTAGTGTTTAAATTTTTGGAAAAGTAATAAATATTATTTAAAAAACACCAATGATTGTAGAATTCTGTCAAAAATGTATAAGATATTGTTGGAATGGCATACGAAAGATGAAGAAGTGAAATCGGTAATGATACAATGGGCCAGAGATTTCGGTTATAATATACAATTTGATGATTGGGAAAAACTATGGAAAGAAAACTTAAAATTTACTGCATGCACGGTGTTAAAGGAAAATGTGATGAAAATGTTTTATAGATGGTATATAACACCAGTAAAATTGGCAAAAATGTTTAAGACGTGTAATAAGTGTTGGAAATGTAAAGAAAAAGAAGGAACGTTTTATCATATGTGGTGGGATTGTAAGAAAGTGAAAAGTTTCCGGGAGATGATATATAATGAATTGAAAAAGATGTTAAAATATACGTTTGTAAAGAAACCAGAGGCTTTTCTTTTAGGGATTACAGGAAACGAGATAAGAAGAAAAGACTGTAAACTCTTCCAATATGCAGTTACAGCTGCAAGGATTTTACTGGCCCAGAAATGGAAACAAGAGGAAATGCCGACGATTGAAGATTGGAGACTGAAACTGACAGACTATGCAGAATTGGACAAGCTAACTGGGGAAATTAGATATCTTAAGGACCAAAAGTTCATCAAAGACTGGGGGAAATTTGTAGAATATCTGAAAAATACATGTGATGTGCAAACAACGTTAGTGGGATTTCAAGAAGCACTGTGAAATTTGAGATGTATTGTTATAAAAATAATAGAAGTGGGAGGGAAGACTAATGACAATACTAAGGAGAAGGAATGCGTAATTAAGAGGTAAAGATGGATGATTGTCAGAGAAGCTGAAGGAAGTCCAAAAAGAAAGAATTTATTTGTTAAAAATTGGATAAAATTGTATATCTGTGTTGTAAATCAATAAAATTATTATAAAAACCCACAAGTGAACAGCAGAGAACCGGCACGAGTAACGCTGACACCAAACACTACATACATTAAGCAAAATAGAAACAGGTTCACCACACTTTCTCATCCTGGTCTTCTTTTATCTTCTTCCAGCTGCCTATGGTTGTGAAGGAGATTTACAACCATCTCCACTGGATCCCCGACACCCGCACTAAGGAAGAGACGCTTTCGGCTATTGTCAGCCTAGCCACCAAGCGCCTACAGCCGGTCATAGACAGCCTGTTGGACTGCTCAAAGGAGTGTGATGAGTAAGTTTTTGTGATGTGAAAATGGGGAGGGCTAGATTTAAGGGGTTTCTTAATTTATATTTATTTATATTGAATTTCGTACTTGCAAAAAATTGTGCTCCAAGTTGTGGTTTCTTTCTTCGCTAATGTATGTGCAATTTAAAGAAAATATCAAAGGCCTGACTTTTTTTAAGAAAAGGAAAAATGAAAAATTCTGTTTTGAAAAAATGCAGAAGTGCCGCAGCGATCTAGAAGGCGTTGGTCGCCGATCCGTATTCCAGCGTCAAGCTGCTGAGACCCCTCCTGAAAAGGCTGCAGGATGAAGACCCCAAAGCGGAAGTCACTTCCAGGCGACGCAGCACTTCTCAAATGCCAATGGCGGTACGAAACCACTCAGTTTCTCTCTCCTGGATTGTTTTGAATGGGAGCTGGATGGGGCTGGGGGTTTCTTGCTGGGAGGGGGGTGCATCTTAATAAGTGGTCCATCCTGTGAGCACCTGCTTTGTATGCAGAAGGGCCCCAGCATCTCCATGTCGGGGAGTCCCTCGCCTGAAACCCTGGACAGCCACTGCTAGTCACTGTAGACAACACTGAGTGAGATGGACCAGGGCTCTGAGCCGTGTCTGAGTCTGAGATCTTGATCTGATGATGACCTCTGCTGAATGCCGTTCTCCTCTCCTTGTCCCTCCAGGCTACCAACGCTCTGTGTCATATCCTGTCGTTCCCTGAGGCTGCAGGTATCCTGAAGAGCAAGTTCCCTCAGCTGCTGTTTGCACTTAGCACTCAGATCTGTTTTGTCCATGAGGCGAGAAGAAGAGGTTCGAGGGCGACAAGTCTAATCCCGGAGCCCTCTTCGCATCTCGATCGTCTGACGTGAGGGACCTGCTAATGCATTTGGGGGCCCTCCTTCTCTCTCTGACCCATAGCGGTGATGGCTCAGCCCTCCCCAAGAGATAGGCTTCATTTGGACATGGAGGTTCTGCTTAGGTTAGATAGCTAGGAGACCCAGGCTCCCCAACCCCTGTGCTCTTCAGTCGCTTTGGACCACAACTCCCACCAGCCCCAGCCAGCACAACGGGGCTGAAGATGGGAGTTATTGTAGCCCAAAACATCTGAAGGACACTAGGATGGGAGAGGATGTTGAAGACTCTCCCGCACGATGGGCTGATTTGGGTGTGGTGGGACTCACGTGTCATGAAACCTTAAGTCTCCATCACAGCCGAAAGGTTGCCGCTTGTGCTGGAAACATGGGGGAGGCTGCAGGGGGTGATGGTTGGGGTTGGACTGCAAGATGTCAAGGTCCTAAAACTCCCCAGATGAACCTACCCAGACCTTGTGCTCATCATCGGAAGCCCCTCTTCATGTGCCTCCTCCACACAAGAAGGGGCCTTTTCTGTGGTGGCTCCCCATTAGTGGGTTGCTCTCCCCAGGGAGGCTTGCCTGGTGCCTTTAGATGCCAGGCAAAATGGTCCTCTTCAATCAGGCCATTGGCTGATTAACTTCCTATGCCCTTTCAACTGTGTTTGTTGGAGGGAGAGGAATTATTGGTTTGCTTTGGTTCTTGTTTTTATTCTGTATTTTGTGCTTTTTAACTTGCATTTTTATGTTGTGAACTGCCTGAAGATCTACGGGTGAAGGGCAGTATACAAATTTAAAAAATATAATATTCTTAATTCCTTCACTTGACTCACGACCACTGTGCAGGCCCTGAAACAACTGATTGGGCGTGTTGAATACCTTGACGAACTTGAGGTTTTGGGGTTGCAAAGCTGCTGGGATATGCTGTCAAGTCCAGAAAGCTTTTTCAAAGGCATTCGTCTTCTGGCAAGGTAAGAAGGTGAAAAGGACTGGCAGGTGAGGCATGAAGAGCAAGGCCTGCTTTCTGGGGAAATGGGGATAAACTTCTTATTTATTTCAGAAAATGTACCATATTGTTCACTCTATAAGATGCAATTTTCCCCTCCTAAAAAGTAAGGGGAAATGTGTGTGCGTCTTATGGAGCAAATGCAGGTGGGAGGCGCTGCTCAGCGTTCAAGTAACCTGGTGGTGGCTGTTGTTGTGCAGGAACGCTGAGCGGTTCTTCCTGCCAGCTTCAGGCTTGTGAATCCTTTGTCTCTTACTCTTACGTTTCAGGACCTTGTTCACCTCCTCGACAGAACAGTACAAGAGGATTGCCCGATTGGCACAGGAATATATGTGCTGTCCGAACAATAAGAAGAGAGCCATCGGCATGGCGTTTTGCTTGGAGGTGAGAATTGGAAACAGGGAATGCCTGTTCTAATGTTTCTAATGGTTTCTTTATTCCTCGCAATGTAACTGTCAAATGTTCTTTAGCATTTACACATTTTTTATTTAATTGTACAACTTCAGTTGCATTCACTGCTGTCATGTCTAATATATATGGACAATATTTTTTTGATAGAAGATGAATGTATACATAATAAAAGATGCACTTACAGTGGCTTTGCTCCAACTTAGGGGATGTCCGACTCCGATACGGACACTTCCGTGACCTAACGCGCAAGTTACTGCAGGCAGCAATCATACAGGTATTCCGTTAATGGATGGACAAGTCTTCACCTTTGGAAGGCTAAGATCTTTCTTAAAATTACATTTTTATATGTACTATTGGAAACACCTTAAAGCTGGTATAAGTTCATATGTATTTATTTTTGCCTGCTTTAAAGATTGATTTTTGTGTGTCTGCTGGTTTATTATATATCTTTTTTTCTCTTTGTTCCGCTATGTATCGGGGTGGGGAGACTAAATAATAATAATAATAATAATAATAATAATAATAATCCTTTGCTCGTCCAAATAAGCTTTTTTCATTTATTTATTGAGGCCACTAAGTCTTTGAACTGAAGAGATTTCTCCAGTTTCAAGCCTCATCTCATGCTCTTTATGAGCCAAGTCCAAACCCTCTGCAGTTCAGACCCAGCTTACGATGTGTTTGGTTCAGCATGATTCCAACCAGCTCATACTCCTTCCTTCCCTTTCCCACCAAAATGTACCTGACTGTGAGAGCAGAGGCGAATTAGATTGGGAGGACCATGCCCAGCCCTGGAGGTTGGAATTTGGGGTCCAGGCCCACCAGAAACCAGTGGAGAACTCAATAGTTCCAAATGGAAGCACCAGCCTAGCTTCTGCTGCGGCCAGATGAGAAGGGGTAGGAGGGTCATGCATGGCTGGGTGCTTCTTGCTGGAGACCATTGAACTGAAGTGAACTGCTTTGGGGGCCAACCTGAATACATCCCAAAATAACCCGTTCAAGAGGTGCTTTTTAGAAACTGAGCTCACAGTCCAACTGTAAAACCAGGACATTATATGCCTATTGTCAAGGCTGCCTCAGGTCTCAGCTCACAAAAGACCAACGCCAATCTCTTCTTATATACAAAAGTGTTTATTGCAGTTCATTGTTTGCTTCATATCCGAGGCGCGCAGCCCCACATCTGCTACGCTTAGACCGTTGAAGTCTCCTCTG